CCCATCTGTTATATATCTTAACTTTCCTTGCTTTGTATCTCTTTCTCCCTTCCCCCCCCCCCTCTCTCTCTCTCTCTCTCTCTCTCTCTCTGTGTTTATCTTTTTCTTATTTTCTTTCTCTCTCTTTCTCTTTTTTATTCTCTCACCAACTTTTATTCTCTCACAAAAAAAGAGTCTATGTAAGTAAGTCTAAGCAAAAGGACAATTGCAAAGCAACGTATTGAGAGCTATCGCATACGTGACAGAAATTATTACAAATTTTACGTCTACCTGAGTTGCTCATTAATGAATTCGTTTATAAATAGTAACGTTGGTAAGATCTAACACAATAAAGTATTCACCGTAAACAAAAACTGCAACAACTCAATTTTAACCAATTAAAATTAATTAATCCGTTAATTAAATAATTAGTTAACTGTTTATTATATTTATTGATCGGAAATTCATTTAAACACATATACATACAACACAATCTTTGATGGTGTTAATTTTGATTTAGTATAGAAGTTTAAACGTTTATATCTTGATTTCAGTTTCTTATGAAGTTTACTTCCTAGCTAGATACGCCAAACTGCCTTTAACATTTTTATCTTGAACTAATATATCGTGAACTCGTGACAAAAGTAATTTAAATACTATATTATTAATTATTTTTATTCTTAAGGCATTTATTTATTTGTTCAATCTTTCTTGTTCATGTTTGAAAGCTTTTTAATATAAGCAGACGTTACAGGTTCTTTCAAAATATGATTTAATTATTAAAATTATTAAAAATTATTAAAAACGTCAATCGATATTTGTTTTACAAATCAGAGATGAAGAAGATGTCCTGGTCTGGCAGTTTCAACTTGGACAAAATGCAGCGTGCCAAGCAGAGCGAACAGGTGCTGCTGCTCAAATTTCAGAGAGATCAGTCCGAATTTCCGAAAAACTGGAAGACCTTGGTCAAAAATAATTTCAGGTTTTGTATCTATAACTATAGATGTTTCAAATTGAAATAACTTAGAATCAATATTTTTATCGACAAAATTTCATATAAAAATGAAAGTCAATTCAAAATTTTTCAAGTTAATTATGTGAAAATTAACTCAACTTCAGTCGAAAGGAGCAAAAAGAAAACTCCAACGACATAAAGATGGCCTTAATAACTTTGAACCTGATAAACAACGACGCGAATAACAGTGCTGTCAGGTACAGCAGCTTCATATCGGAAGATAATGGGAAGTTCTACGTAGACCAGGCTGTCCTGGATGTTCAGGTCGGCGTTCGTCTGCTGTGTGCTGGTCACTCCAGTGCATTTTTGCTATCAATTTTTGAGTTTTATTCGCTTTTTAGAAAAATTGTTATAGTTTATGTCACAAAACTGTTTTAATAAAGGTAATTTACTTTTTATATTAAAAAATGTGTCTAAATTAAGAAATTATTTCTCGTTGAAATGTTTATATAAAACCAAATATTGTGCCATTATTCCTACCTTACAAATATGTTCATTTTCAACCTCCGCCCGAATGTACACGTAGCAGAAGAATGTTCCCAACATCCAAATTCCAAATCCCAACAACGGCAAAGGTCCAACCCAAAAACCACCTGAAGTTAAAAAAACTTGCGAAAAATCTGCCGGCGACTTGTTGGAAACACCGTTCTTCCGTCTGTCTATGGAAGTGAATAGAAGATCAAAATGCCAATCCACTTCAGTTGACCCTGCTCTGGTTTAGCATTATTTCAACGTTTTTGCTTAATTTCAAGTTTTGTTCATTAGATTTTTTCCAAGGTAATTTTAAATGTGTAAACACTGTCTAAGCAAAAGAAAATTTAAATTTTTTAAAACCATCAAACAGTCGTTTATTACAAAACTGCAAAACTGTTGTAATTATCAAACAATAATTATACCGTAAAAAATCACCCAGCCAGCCAACCAACCAACCCACCAACCAACCAACCAACCCACCATCTAATTACTTTCCAGCTAGCAAACAGAAGTTCTCAAGTGGTGAACGGCAAAATAAGAGACTCAAGGTTAAAAAAATATAAACAAACAAAATCAAACAACACAAAAATTAAATACATCAAACAAAACATACCAAAACAAAAACATAATACAACGTAGCAGCAAAAATAAACATAACATGAACGTAAGTATAAAGAAAACATATACGTGAACTTATAACCAAATACATATATACACGTTAACATAAACATATAACCAAACATACCAGGTATACTAAAGAGACAACGAAAGCAAATTCCCTGGAAGAATGCGACGAGTATACCATCTCCCCACCAATATCTCCATACTCCGCGGACTCTTCCCCAATGTCGCAATCGTCCTCATCTTCCCCCACGTCCAACCGTTCGCCATTTTTCCCAACTTTTCCTAATCCGAATGATCCGGTCTATGCCTCCGTAAATAAGAATCGAGGGAGCGATGATAGTAACAGTAGCAGTAATAATAGTAACACTAATTCTACTATTACTACAACAAATACTACTACTACTACTACTAATAATAATAATAATAATAATAATAATAACCGTAGATCTAGTACAACTAGTAACAGTAATAAAAATAGCAACGAAAGCAAAAAGAAGCGATTGACGATGTCTGAAGATGAAGTGATGAGGGTATTGAGTTAGTATGCAGTTTATATCTTTTCAATTTTGAATTATGTCGTAATGGCCAAGGCGCCTGGTCATGATGCTGCAGTGACCAGGTTTAAATGCAAGAAGATCCGTCCGTGCATATTGCATGCGATGTGTGTGATGCTTGAATTCGCGTGTCTGTTCACATGCGCTCTCTTTGAATTTCTGCCATCTCTAGGAGTATTTATAATTGACCTTTTAACCTTTACAATGATAATAGTAATAATTTGTTTGGTTTGGATATTTATTAGTTTGATAATTAGCGAAGCGGTTGATTGATAATGACAACAAATTTTTATGACATACTAATAAACAATTGTGGATTATTAATTTATGAATTTATTTAAGAATCGTTGGTAACCAGCTCAACTCCAGATCAGAAATACAACTTCAACGTTAATGTACTAGCTGGAGAAGGGTGAGATGTTGATGATGTTGATGATGATGATGTTGATGATGATGATGATGATAATAATAATGATGATGATGATGATGTTTTTGTGATGAAGACGATGTTGCAGGTCTTTATATGACGACGAACCAGACCATGGTTTAAATTAAGAGTACAATTTTGGTGATGACAATGATGATAATGATGATTTTGATAATGATGATGATGATTGTGTTGATGATAGTGATAATTGGGGCATTGGTTGTGATGATGATAATGATGATGAAGATGATGATTGCGGTGATGGTTGTGATGATGGTGATAAAAAATTTACAATTACTATAATGTCATTTATAATTTATTAATAAAAATATATTTGCAACAAAAAGCAATATAACGAAAATATGATGATTAATTAGAGCTTCTGGAACAGTGTTAAAAGCCACTTGTAAAAACTCCACAGGTAAGCCAAACTCTTTTTGTTGATTTGCCATCTCCAACTACAAACAACACGGTCAAAACGTGCATTCATATTCTTAAAAAATGAAACTTCGCAAATAATTTTTTCAATTATTCATATTTTGACTTTATTGAAAAAAGCCTAGACAAACTTTAAATTTTTTCCTACAATCAGACACAGGTGAACAGTTGGTGGCCATCAAACGCATGGCACTTGCAGAGCAGCCGAAACTCGAGCTACTCCTGACAGAGATTGAAGTTATGCGAAGCCTCAACCATCCAAACATCATCAACTACATCGAAAGTTATCTGACGGATTGCGACAAGGAGCTCTGGGTCGTCATGGAGTATTTGGGAGGAGGATCTCTAACTGGAGTCTGTACGGAAACAGTTCTGCGTATTCCACAAATTGCCGGCATATGCGCGCGGTTAGTTTTGGACGTTTTTTGGGAGGTGGTGTGTCGACTTGTTGTGGGTATAAATATAAAAAAAACATTAATTAGATAGACAATGCAACAAATTGAGATGGTGATGAGGTTAAAGTTGAAGTTTATATGCTGGCGAGGAAAAATGATGGCAAGGTTGTTGATGATGACGGTGATTTGTTTTAGTTAAGATGATATTACGTAACGTAGCCTACAGATATTTAAATATTTTGAATCATTATTTAATTTTCAAGTCATACATCGTTATCACTAACATTATTAAACACCATTTTTCATCACCCTTATAACCACCACACCAAACCACGCCACACTACAACGACCACCACTACCGCAACCACCGTCGCCACAGATGTGTGGACGCGCTGGCCTACCTACACACGCGGGGGATCATCCATCGGGATATCAAGAGCGACAACATCCTACTCGGCATGGAGGGACAAGTCAAAATCATCGACTTTGGCTTCTGTGCTCAAACATCCGAACGCCAGACCATGGTGGGAACTCCTTATTGGATGGCACCTGAAGTTGTCGCCAAGTTAGTAGCTGCTGCTGGTAGCTGGGTTCCAGGCAGTTGGATGCGATGTAGTTGGGTGGAATGAATTTGATGTTGTCTATTTTATTTAACTGAGTGAAATCATTTTTACTGTTTTTAATTTGTTTAAAATTTCATCATATAACTTGTTTTTATTCGATAGATGCTTTTGCTTGCGTGATTGTTATTGACCATGTATTGATACATTTCCTACTTTAATGTTTTGTTTGAAAATGTGAGACCATAAGTTTTAAAATTACAATTTATAAATTGTTTGCCAGTTTAAAAATGTTATCATTAATTTACCAAAAAATTCATAACTCTCTGGATGACTAATTGAACACCTATCTATCATCTCCATCATCATCATCATATTTATCATCATCTCCATCATCATAACCACCTAACAATACAACACGCACCTCTAGACAGATGTACAGTTTCAAAGTAGATGTCTGGAGCATGGGCATCTTGACCATTGAGATGGTTGACGGCACGCCACCCTACCTTGATGAGTCACCTGTACGAGCCCTCTTCCTCATCACCACAAATGGAAAACCAAAAGTTTGTTCTCTGTTTCCTTTACTACTAACTTGTGTTATTCTTAAAAATATGAAAATTATTAACGTTTGCCAAGAATAAATCATCTTCAAAATACAAATACATGTACGTGCTCTTATAAGTTTATATAACTTATATTCATAATTTTTTTTCTTTTTTATTAACATCCCATAACAAATTATTGTTATGGGATGTTAATAAATATTACAAAATATAGGCCAAAAAATGAGAAAAATACATGTCACACATTAATTATAAACATCTATCTATACATATATCTCTATATAACTTTACATATATATATCTATACATTACATTTCGTACGTACGTACTCAGGTTCAAGAGCAACACAGAGTAACGCCACATCTTCAAGATTTTCTGGACAAATGTTTGGAGGTAGAGGTCGACAAGAGAAGTCGAAGCCAGGATCTTGTGAACCACCCATTCTTCCAGGAAGCCGAAGATCTCATCTCGCTCCGAGATAATATCCTGGTGGCCCAAGAAGAACAGAACAAATGATGGTGTGTGTGTGTGTGTTTGTGTGTGTATGCGTTTGTTCGTGTGTGCATGTGTGTGTGTTTGTATGAGTGTATGTGCAGCCTGTGTTTGGGACTTGTTTAATAATGACGATTAATTTATAAAAACATTACTAGCTTTAGGCATAGTTAATTTTGTTATCTTAATGCTTCATGTCGTATTAATTTTGTTGAGTAATTAAAACAGATATTTTTGTAATTATTTATATAATTAAATATTTATTCTGCCCGCGTCGTTTTTTAAAATGTATGTGGAAGTGTGCTCTTAACTCTGCCAAATTCATTGATTGGATAGATGTTAATTTGTTTGTATGTACATTTGTATGTGTATGTGCGTGAGTGTGAGTGTATGTGTCTGTGTGTGTATATGTGTGTGTGTGTGGTGTGTGTGTGTGTGTGTGTGTAAATATTTTCGAAGTGAACCATCTGTGTTGTTGATTGAGAGAGGATTGTTGTTAAATGCGACGTTCCTATTTTTTAATTCTTCATTGATTAATTAATTATTTATTATTAATTAGATATGTATTTTAAAATAAATTGTATGGGTTTTATGGATAAATCATTTGATATATTTTAAATACGTTTCAATAATAGAATGGAATGCTGAAAATATTCATCTAATCGAAACTCGAATCTATCCACATGCATGTACAATTGTACATGCAATTGTACAATACGGTATTTTGTACTTCTTACCGAATCTAATAACGCGAGAGAGAGAGAGAGAGAGAGAGAGAGAGAGAGAGATAAAGATAAAAAGACAAAGAGGCAAATGAAAAAAGATAGAAGAGTGGAAAAACAGGAAGAAAATAAGAGACAACAGAATGAGAAAGAGGAGAGAGAGAGAGAGAGAGAAGGATGGGTGAATTAGAGGAAACGTGCATCGTATCATAATTTGAGGTTTAATATAGGAGCCTGGATGCACCAACTTGTTTTCTTTGTTGTGCCGCACATCAAAGGGTTAATGCCTCCATTGTTATGGGTTCGCGATGGCTGTTGATAATGTTGTTGCTGTTGCTATTGTTATTTTACTCGCTGGTGTTGATGTCGTGAATATTTATGTTGTTGATTTGTTGTTGTTGTTGTTGATGTTGTTGTTGATGTTGTTGTTGTTTTTGATGATGTTGTTGTTGATGTTTTTTTAATGTTGTTTTAATGTTTTTTTTTGTTGTTGGTGTTTTTGTAGTTAATGTTGTTGTTGGTGATGATGTGTTTGTTGCATTTATTTATGTTGCAAATAGCCATGTTCCGTGGCAGTTAATGATGAAGACGATAAAAGTGGCGATAATGAAATTAAGCATAAATAGAAGCCGATGAAAGGTTATCATACAAGCTGAAATGATCTGAGAGACGTTTAATTGATCTGGATTCCACCTAATCAAACACATCACTTCACATTAAACCACACACATACTGACACATCAGTGAACGCAGGGCCAAATTTAGAAGTGTGAAGGGCCCTGTGGTAATGAGGGAGCGAAGACCCCCTTTGTACCTATTTAATTAATATTTTCAGGGCCAAATAGTTTAATGGATACTCTTTTATAGATGGCTAACTTTTATTAGCCTAACTTTTCACGCAGTTTTTTGGGCTTTAAATCCGGCCCGAAGTAAACAAAGCAGCCAAACACGGATCACTATATAGACGATGACAATATAGATTTATGCATGTAACCAATGTTTGCTAACAAAGCCAGTAATGTGCGAGATACGTGATGAAATGGAGAAAAATGTGTTAGCGACATCCGTTGAATTTGTTAAAAATTTACAAAATTGTATCTACATACACACACACACACACCACACACATACACGCACACACACGCACACATATGCCAATAATGTATGTGTGTGTATGAGAGTAAGTATGTAAGTGCAAATGTTTATGTATGTATTTGTTTGTGTTTGTGTGTGCGTGTGCGTGCGATCTAAGTGTACGCGCCCGTGTGTGTGTGTATGCGTGACACATTGTATACAGTTGAAAATTTTAAAATTAAACAATTTATTTTATGGAGTGTTAGAAGATGTGGAATGATGATTGCTACGACGGTGATGACTATGATGATGATGATGAGGGTGGTGATGATGATGACGAGGAGGAGGAAGAAGAGGAAGAGGAAAGTGCTAGGGAACATAACAAGGAAATAAGTAATGATTACCGAAACGGTAATGATGTTTTAGCTGATGGTGATAAAATTCATGATAAACTCATGTTTGTGTCAGTAGTGTTCCTAGCAACACACTCAGACACACACACACACACGCACGCAAACACACACACATACAAGCACTTGCTCACACAAACATACAGATACAGAAACATACACACACGCACACACACACACACAAACAACAAACACGCAACCAGGTTACGAGCATTCATTTGTATACAGAAAGACTCATCACTGTTAGTCTCTGTACTAACGGTATTAGCTTACAACTTTTAAATGCAGAAATACAAATACTGTAAATACCATAAGATACATACAAACATACAGCCGTACATACATACATACATACATACATACACACATACATACATACATATTAACATTGTTTTTGTCGGTTTGTATGTTGGTTATTAAGTTTCTGCCAGATGATTAAGCCTCTACCGCCTTTTCGTATTTCATTTCCATGGACAGCTGTGCACACTTGCTTAATATTATTATTATAATTATTATCATCATTATCATCATCATCATCATTATTATTATTATTATTATTATTAGTAGTAGTAGTAGTAGTAGTAGTAGTAGTAGTAGTGGTGGTGGTGGTGGTGGTAGGGGTGGTAGTACAGCTGCAGTAGCGGTAGTGGAAGTAATAGTAGCAGTGATTATTTTTATTCTATTGATTCTTTACATTTATACCTTTGTTTATTTATAATTTTTTGTTTTTGCGGCTGACGTGTTAAAATCAATTAGAAGCCCGGTGAGCCATCGTAAGTTGTTCGACCGACTGATCGCTGCTACCACTGCTACTACTACTACCGCTGCCACAATGTATTAGGTCACGTGAGAAATGATGATGATGATAATGATGAAGATTATGATGAAGATTATGATGATGATGATGATGATGATGATGATGATGATAGTGATGACGATGTTGATGATGGTGATGACGACGATGAAGATAAAGAAGAAGAAGAAGAAGATGATGATGATAGCATGGAAGAATGATGATAATAGTGATGATGTTCTAATCAAAATTCTCTGTACAATTTCCTAAAGCCGGAAACGGTAGGTGGAGAGATAGGGAAACATCATAATGATGGTGATGATGACGACGATGATGATGATGATGACGATGATGATGATGATGAAGATGTTGGTGATGATGATGTTGACGACGACGATAGCTGCTTCAAATCAATGGATGAAGATATGAAGAACATAATACAAGATATATAAATAATATATATATATATATGTAACATTGTAAGTGGTTCTGCGTATGTCAGTCAGAGCTGCAATAATAAAGACTAAAAAGTAGTAGTAGTAGTAGTAGTAGTAGCATTTTATATTCAATCGTCCGAAGATTTATTAAAGAACCAATGAACTTTTAATCATTTCGGGTAGTCTTCAATTAATGCTTGCCAAATGAAGCACACAAAAACGCATTAAGACGTTCAATCGCTCATTCAATTCATTCGTCAATTCAGTAGTGCCAGAGTTTTATATCATACGTTGGTATTTTTATGTTAATCTCTCTCTCCTCTCTCTCTCTCTCTCTTTCTCTCTCACTATATCTATCTCTTCTTTTTTTATTCTTTCATTATTTTTTTTCTTTTTCTCTTTTCTCTCTCTCATTTTTTACCTATCTTCATAGGTATATTTCATATTTCTATTTATAAGTATATTATGTGTATATTTCTATCTCCCACTGTCGCTTACCTCTTTCTTAATTGCTTTTCTTTATTTTTTAGTTTTCCATTTCTTTCTGATTCTCTATTTCTATCTTTTGATCCCTCTCTCTCCTTTTCTTTCTCTCTCTCTCTCTCTCTCTCTCTCTCTCTCTCTCTCTCTCTCTCTCTCTCTCTACGAGCCTGTGTGAACCTAATGGAACACTTGTGGTGTTATTTATCGCTACAGAGTCGTATTTTATTTCAAGGATTCGTCTGAAAGACGATCAGTTGCTGCTCATGTGAAGGCGTGCATGTTTGTTATTCTGTCTCTTATTATTTTTATTATTATTATTATTATATCCTTGTTGTTATTATTATTATTACTTTTATTTTACTCTTGTTGTGT